GAATTTGAATCTTCACTACTTGCAGATGCTTACATGTCAATTTGAAAAAAAAAACTTTTGTTCTGGAGAAGATTTTTTCCTATTTATTCTTATGCAAAACTTTAAGCCCTTATTGTGGCCCCACCCAACCCCAGGTGTCATAATTTGAACAAATCAGAATCTAAATCACATGAGGATGCTTCCATAATTCCATAAAAATTACTGATCATGGATTCGGTACGTGTTCTCCAGAATTTGTTTAAAAAGAGCTATATTCCTATGTAAAAATTAACCCCACATTGTGTCCCACACCCTACCCCCAAGAATTCTGATTAGAACAATCTTGAAACTGCACTACCCGAGGATGCTTTCATATAAATATTACCAATCATGCAATGGCTTTGCTGTTTTTGAGAAGATTTTAAAAGATTTTTCCTATAAATTTCTATGTAAATTAAGCTTTGATTGCCCATTATGACCCACCCTACCGCTATAGGGGCCATGATTGGAACAAACTTGAATTGACTCTAACTGAGGATGTTCCCATTTTAATATCTCCAATCATGGCTTTGCTGATCTCGAGAAGAGGATTTTTCAAAGAATTTTCCTATAACTATTATTCCTGTGTAAAACTATGTTCAGCCATTGTGGCCCCATCCTAACATCGACGGTCATGATTTGCACAAATTTAAATCTACACTGCTTGAGGATGCTTAGAATCCACATAATTTTCATCTTTCCTGGCTCAAAGGTTCTGGAGAAGAATTAATATTTTAAAAGATTTTTCTTATATATATTCGCATGCAAAACTTAGATCAGCCATTGTGGCCCCGCCCTACCCCCGGGGGTGATGATTGAACAAACTTGAATCTACACTACCTGAGGATGCTTCTGCATGAGTTCAATCTTTCCTGATCCAGTGGTTCTGGAGAAGAAGATTTTAAAACTAGAAATATGTCTATTGGACATGAATATGACAACAAAATGAAGTGAGAGAGTCCCTAGATGAGGCTTGTCAAGCTGAAGAAGCATGATCTGCAGCAAAACGAACAGAACACAGTCAGGTAGAAGAGAAACTGGAGCTCGGTTCTGATGTGAATGTCATGGATTCAAAGGAAGAGTGGATACAAGAACAAGGTAAAGATCCGAGTATTGATAGGTTCAGAAAGCGTATAGATAATAAGGGTGCAGACTATGGCGAAAGCTACATAACAAAGGAGAAAGGTTTGTTATACAGGGTTCTCAAAACGGATAAAGACAGTCTACTAAAACAGTTAGTAGTACCAGAAAATTTAAAAGACAAATACTATCGATGGGTCATGACATTCCACTTGCGGGACATCTTGGCATTTAAGAAGACAAGAGAAAGAATTCTGATGAATTTCTTCTGGCCAGGTATTTTTGAGGACACAAAGAGGTACTACAAGTCACGTCCCAAGTGCCTGAAGAGAACAGCCAAAACTAGAGTAAGTAAGCTTCCTTTAATTCAGGTGCCGCAAATCGAGACGCCGTTTCAAAGGGTAGCTATATTGATATAGTGGGCCCATTACCCAGAACAAATAGAGTTAATCAGTACATTCTAGTTCTGTGCGATTACACAACAAGATATCCCGAGGCGATACCACTTAGAAGTCAAGAGGCAGAGGTAGTAGCTGAGGCGTTAGTGGAGGTGTTTTCGAGAGTTGGGGTCCCAAAGGAGATACTATCAGATCAAGGTACAAACTTGATGTCCTCTCCTATGACAGAGTTATGTCGCTTGTTAAGCATTCGTAAGTTGAACACCACACCTTACCACCCACAGGCAAACGGGCTGGTGGAAAGATTCAACGGCACACTAAAGAAAATCCTTCAAATATACGCAAAAGACGAATTAGATAAGTGGGACAAGTTGTTGCCATATTTATTATTTGCGTATAGAGAAGTTCCACAGGAGTACACGGAATTCTCTCCTTTCGAGCTGATGTATGGAAGATTTGTAAGGGGTCCTTTGACCATTCTTAGGGAAAGCATTGAGGAGGAAGGTGATGAAGATCATCACTTACAACCATCAGTACTCAGCTTCATTATAGAAACCAGAGAGAAGTTGGCAAAAATGGCAGATATTGTACTGGAGAATGAGGTAGTTAGTAAGAAAGAACAGAAAAGGTACTACGATCGAAAAGCGAGACATAGGTCATTTGAGGTTGGAGAAAAGGTACTGTACCTACAAGTTATTGGCTCATTGGAAGGGACCTGTTACTATTACGAAGAAGGCAAGTCACGTAGATTATAAGGTAAAAGTAATATAATGGGGTAACTAAGGTGTACCACGTCAACTTGTTAAAGAGATAGATAGAGAGAGATGCTGACCAGGTAGTAGCAACAGCAGTTTGTTCGCTAGACATGAGTGGATAGGAAATCCTTTGATGGATGTAAGGGATACGGTAAAGGATGTGGAGATAGCACAGACGCTATCACAGGAACAAACAGGTGAGTTACAGAGTTATTAAGAAAAGTTAAGTAGTGTGTTGACAAATGTACCAGGTAGAACTAGCTTACTGAAACATAAGGTGGTTACTACTAGTGATGTTCCTGTGTGTCAAAAGCCATATCAGATTCCACACATGTTGAGAGACGAAGTGAAGAAGGAATTATATGCAGTGATAGAAGCAGGTATTGTAGAGCAGTCAGTTAGTCCTTATTCATCACCTGTGGTTATCATACCTAAGAAAGACAAGAGTATCAGGTTTTGTGTAGACTATCGGAGGTTAAACCACGTAACTGTTTTCGATCCAGAACCTAATGCTCAAATTGAGGATATCATTGATCGACTAGGTGAGGCTAAGTATCTTAGAAAGATATATTTCACCAAGAGTTATTTGCAGATTACACTAGAAGATGACGCCAAAGAAAAAAGTGCATTCATAGCTCCATTCGGTCAGTATCAGTTCAGAGTGATGCCGTTTGCAATGATGAATTCGGCAGCCACTTTTAACAGGTTGTTTAGACAAATACTAGCAGGTCATCAGGAGTATTCAGATTCCTTTATTGACGATTTAATTATCTTCAGTAAGGACTGGCCCAGTCACCTTGAACACATTAGTTTACATTAATTTTGTAGTTTTAAGATCTATTCAGGACGAAGGATTAACAGCCCAAGTGTGAGTTTTGGTGTAGAGAAATGGAATTTCTTTGACACAAGGTCGGAAATGGTCAGGTAAAGCCAACTTCAGACAAAGTACAGGCTATTTTAGATATTCCTGTTCCAACAAAATATAAAGACGTAAGATCATTCTTAGGGTCTATGAACTTTTATAGGAAGTTTATTCGCAATTTTTCTTCTTTGTCTGCTTCACTCTCTGATCTTACTAGAAAAACACAGCCAAACACAGTCATATGGACAGAGGAACATGATAGGACATTTCGGCAGCTGAAAAAGAATCTGGTAAGTGCACCCGTTTTCTGGAATCCAGACTTTACATTGGTGTTTGTGTTACAAACTGATGCAAGCGACAGAGGTCTGGAGGAGGTCTTATTGCAGGAGAAGGATACAGAGTACCATCCAATTCTATATATCAGTAAAAAAAATACTTTCAAGGGAACAGCACTTCGCCGTTGTGGAAAAACAGAAGGCTATGCGATTGTATGGGTGGTGCAGCGTCTTCAAAACTCCTTGTATAGTAAGCGTTTCATCATAGAATCGGATCACAGAGCGTTGCAGTGGTTTAAGACGATGAAGTCACAGAATCCTAGACTTCTTCCTTGGAGTCTGATTTAACAAGAATACAAGTACATGTATACAGTGAGGCATAATCGAAGTAAAGACAACAAATTAGCCGACTTTGTATCAAGGACGTATTAGTTGAGTCAATTTTATTTAGATTTATTTACAATATTGTTCACATTGGCAAATAAATGGGGGCGTATGTGAAGAAGTTGATTATTGTTTTGTATATATCATGTTAATTTTGTTCTAACGGGGTTCCATACTTTTGAGACTATTTTGTTACGAGTATATAAAGGGACCGGTTTTGTCAGGGTGGTCAGATCTAGTTTGGTGTCCGGTAGCGTGACCAGCTGGAGGTGGTCACCCTGGAGGTGCGCTGTTTAATTGCTGTTTCCCCTGCATGATTTATACAAGTGACGAATATTTTTCGGTGAGATATAGCACCGAATGTACTATATAGCAGGTTAAAATCGCGGTCGGAAAAGATCGTTTGAATTCGCGGAAAAGGAAAACCCATATATTTTTTAAACGGTACTTGTACGCATATTCTGTAGGTATATATTGTGTGAACTGCTATTTCCCGTCTCTATAGTATATTACGAGAGTCTGTAATGTATATATCGCGCATATCAGACAGAAACGTAAAGTCTATAAATTGTGTCGATTTTGATCCCGGTTGAAAATAATGAAACACCGGACTGATCCCGATTTGAAGTCAAAATAATGCAACGCATTTAATTTTTTTTATTCCCGGGTCCAAATCAGAAAAAAATAGCCGTAGTCAAAATGTTGAAACTTTAATCATATTAATTGAAATTAATTAAAATTGTCGTTACCCTGTTCACAACGTAAATGCTTTGATTAAAGGTAATGACTGAGTGATACGCACGGGTGAAATTAAACAAGCATGTTTATTAAATAATTATATCGCACGTCTACTAGATGGCAAAATTAATCGTTAGCTAGAGAATGAAATAAACAATTAATAAGCTTTAAAAACACCAACAACTACGTGTTTGTAATATTGATCTATACACTGTATAAAGACATATGTATAAAGACAGTCTACATCTAATCACAGAAAATAGTAAAATTTCAATTTATCCTTTTAAAACTTTTAAAGAATTATTCACTGTATGTTGAATTCGCGGAAATTTTTAAAATTTCCTGCTGTACAGTAAACGCCTAAACGGGAAGCCATATAATTTGTCAAGGAGGATTATTGCAGCGTGTTTTTGCAGTTCTAGTCGGTAAGAGTGTTCGAGTATTCGAGATATATCGATTCAGCTAATGAATGAAAATACAGATACAAGTTTTAAGCTGGATTGTCGACCATCTCTTGCTCCTGAATTCCAGCTTTGTCCTTTTGGACATCCACAGGACATCCTCGGACATCATCAGAACGAATTCTTCTTTTCCTTTTCTTCTTTCCAGCTTTTCTGCATAGACCGTATTTAAGATGACGCATCATTATTGGTATATCGCTGATGACGATGATTCCAATGAAAAATGCGATGAGTAGTGGTCCAAATATCGTCCCAACGGCAACGGCAGAGGCACGTTTATCAAAGACGGATAATCGTTTGCGAAGCTGTTTATTCAAATCGGCTTTATTGACTTTCAACTCCTTCTTCATTTTTGCTATTTTAGATATGAGCACTTTCTTGTCCGTAATGATGACCTGATTTTTCATGCGCTCGCATGGACACATACAACCTTGAAAAAAAAAGTTGTCTCTTATAAACTTTATTTTTTAAATTTCATCTCTACTTTTCAGTATGAAATTCTTGCATGTTCAGTCATTTTACTCATACAAAAGCATGACGTTTTACAGGTGACTATACAAATATATCTTTTTAAAATGTTCAAGAGGCTGATCCATAGATATCATTATATCGATTTAATAAAAAAAAAAAACATATTATTTTCAGGTCCCTTGGGACACTATACGGGTTCAAATTTTCAGACACCTGTATTTATTTAAAAATTGTCAACTAAATCTTAAAATTAACAGTTTAAGTCAAATTATTTAAAAGAATTAATTAATACTGTTCGTTATCTCCATATCCTTCTTGTATCAAGCAGGCACAATCCAGTGACATTTGTACACTTGTACAAAATGCCTTTGATATCTAAAAGACTACCTTTGTTCACAGAGGAGGCTGTAGTTGATTTCATAAGATTAGTTGTTGACATGGATGAGGAAACATGTGCTGATGTGAAGGTGTCTGTTGAGGACGATTTTACTGTGCTTGATGATTTAGGTGTAGATGTAGACAAGGAAAGCGATACCAAAGTGGAACTAGCGGTTTTTAAACTTGAAGTTGTAGTTGATGGTACAGAATATGTTGCTGATGTTGACGCCAATTTGGAGCTGACAGCTGTTGACAAAGTAGTTGAAGGTGATGTTGATACTGATGTTGAACTACCGGTTGTTGACGATGTAGTTTGGGTTGAAGGTACAGAATCAGTTGTTGATGTTGATACCGAAGTGGACCCGACGGTTCTCGTTGATGTTGTTGTAGTTGATGGTACTGTGTCCGTTGTTGATTGTAACACCGATGTGGAGACACCGGTTGTTGACGATGTTTTTGTAGTTGATGGTACGGTGTCGGTTGTTGACGATGTTGTTGTAGTTGATGGTACGGAGTTCATTGTTGATAGTGATGCTGATGTGGAATAGACGGGTCTCGTTGATGTAGTTGTAGTTGATGGTACAGGATCTGTTTTGGGAAGAGATTATGATATACTTGTTGAGCCGGTATATGGTGATGTTGTAGCTGTGTAGTTGATGTTCATAAGAAAAATTATTAATGATTGTAGCCACGTTTTTATGTTAAATGTTTGTTTTACGGTAGATACCGTGTAATTTCCTGAGTTGATAATAAGGATCAAATCATATTTATTCACTAAAATATTATTTATGGAAAAATTTTAATAGCTTGTTGTTTATGTAAAGGGGGTGGGTGCCTTTCTCCAAAATTATCTGCGCTAGCTCTATGTTTCAGATTTTGTGTTTATGTAGGGGACATTTTTTTTAAATGTTTGTTGTGGGAAAATTAGTGAAGTTAGACAGTAAAACAAAAACAAATTTTCAATAGCTTATGAAAAGATGAACATGTAAAATAAGACTATACTGTATATATTCTTAAAACATTGCTGTGATGTCATTCCTTTGTTCTTGCAGTCTAAAAATTTACCTGTGGCAGTCCGATATTAGTGAGCAGTCTGATATTAATCGTAATATCAGACTGTCTCAGTACTGATATTTTGCAAAATCGGACTGCTACTGAACAAAAGAAATAAAAATTGTGATAATTTAACAAACAGCAATTTAAATTCCTCACATAGAATGGTGATTTTGAAACATTGTTCTTACAGAATAGCAAAATAAAAAAAAAAAACAAGCAAATTCAAAGAATTGTGGTCCCCCGCTTTCGGTGTCTTTGTGGGTGAGATGTTATTTCTATGACATGTTGTGTCTAATATGAACACCCTATCATATTTCATTTATTTAGAAATTATCATTGAAGTTGGTTTTTTTGAAGGATGAAAACCCTAATCCTGACCGTTAAAAACTTATGGCCAAAGTTAAAGTTTTTTAAAAGTAGGTCAACTCCAAGGTCAAGATCAAAGGGTCAAAGTTGTTAATATCCAATGAAAGGTCTTCTCACAAGGATTACATATGTGAAGTATGAAAGTCCTAGCCATTACCGTTCAAAAGTTATGGTCAAGGTTAAAGTTTTTACATAAGTACGTAAATCTTTAAGGTCAAGGTAAAAAGGTCAAAGTTGATGATATCCAATTAAAGGTCCTGCCACAAAGAATATATATGTGAAATATGAAAGTCCTAGTATCTATCGTTCAAAAGTTGTGACCAAAGTTAAAGTTTTTTAAAAGTAGTTAAAACTCCGAGGTCAAGGTCTAAGGGTGAAAGTTGTTGGTATCCAATGAAAGGTCTTCTCACAAGTATTACATATGTGAAGTACGAAAGCCCTAGCTCTCACCGTTCAAAAGTTATGGTCAAGGTTAAAGTTCATTCATAAGTACGTAAATCTCAAAGGTCAAGGTCAAAAGGTAAAGGTTGTTGGTGTCCAATGAAAGGTCTTGCCACAAAGAATACATATCTGAAATATAAAAGTCATAGTAGCTACTATTTAAAAGTTGTGACCAAGGTTAAAGTTTAAAAAGTAGTTAAAACTCCGAGGTCAAGGTCAAACGGTAAAAGTTGTTGGTATCCAATGGAAGGTCTTTTCACAAGAATTACGTATATGAAGTACGAAAGCCCTAGCCCTCACCGTTCAAAAGTTATGGTCAAGGTTAAAGTTTTTTCATAAGTACGTGAAACTCCATGGTCAAGGTCAAAAGGTCAAGGTTGTTGGTGTCCAATGAAAGGTCTTGCCACAAAAAATACATATCTGAAATATAAAAGTCATAGTATCTACTATTTAAAAGTTGTGACCAAGGTTAAAGTTTAAAAAGTAGTTAAAACTCCGAGGTCAAGGTCAAACGGTAAAAGTTGTTGGTATCCAATGGAAGGTCTTTTCACAAGAATTACATATATGAAGTACGAAAGCCCTAGTACCTACCATTCAAAAGTTATGGCCAAAGTAAAAGTTTGGAATTTTTGTGTAAAAGTGGGTTAAACTCCAAGGTCAAGGTCAAATTTGGTGGTACCCAAAGAAAGGTCTTGACACAAGGAATACACATGTGTAATATGGAAGTCATAGCTACGGAAGCGTATTAGTACGGAAGCGTATTAGTGCCACTTGCACACTCTACTCTTTTTTAATTTCGACACTTTAATCTGTAAATTTTACACTTTAAAGTGTAAATTTTACACTTTAATCTGTAAATTTTACACATTAATCTGTAAATTTTACACATTAATCTGTAAAATTTACACTTTAAAGTGTAAATTTTACACATTAATCTATAAAATTTACACTTTAAAGTGTAAATTTTACACTTTAATCTGTAAATTTTACACTTTAATCTGTAAATTTTACACATTAATCTGTAAAATTTACACTTTAATCTGTAAATTTTACACTTTAACCTGTAAATTTTACACTTTAAAGTGTAAATTTTACACATTAATCTGTAAAATTTACACTTTAATCTGTAAATTATACACTTTATTTGTTTATTCACATAGTCAATTTAGCATCTTCACACATCCTCAGTAACACAGTTGTAAGCCAGTAAAATGTTAGTTTAAGCAAATTTTCTGAATTGATAGGATTTATAGATTATATCACAATTGTGTCATCCATATATTATTTATGTGAAAAAAGTCTAACAGGCCCTGGAATCTATATTAAGGGGGGAGGGGTCCTCAAGCACCTGTGATCGGGAATATGTGCATGTATGTTTGATATGCTCTTCACTTTATATTCAAAGAAAAGGTTTACTTTAATATAAAACATCAGAATTAAATTTCATCATGCACGAAACATGGTTTGTTGGCTTAAAAATGTGTTACTGAGGATGTGTGAAGATGCTAAATTGACAATGTGAATAAACAAATAAAGTGTAAATTTTACAGATTAAAGTGTAAATTTTACAGATTAAAGTGTAAAATTTACAGAATAAAGTGTAAAATTTACACTTTAAAGTGTACAATTTACAGATTAAAGTGTAAATTTTACAGATTAAAGTGTAAAATTTACACTTTAAAGTGTAAAATTTACAGATTAAAGTGTAAAATTTACACTTTAAAGTGTACAATTTACAGATTAAAGTGTAAATTTTACAGATTAAAGTGTAAAATTTACAGATTAAAGTGTAAAATTTACAGATTAAAGTGTAAAATTTACACTTTAAAGTGTAAAATTTACACTTTAAAGTGTAAAATTCACACTTTAAAGTGTAAAATTTACAGATTAAAGTGTCGAAATTAAAAAAAAAGTAAAGTGTGCAAGTGGCACTAATACGCTTCCGCACATAGCTCCACTAAATCAAAAGTTATGGGCAAGGTTAAAGATTTTGTGACGGACAGACTGACAGACTGACGGACAGACGGACAGACGAATTAGATTTAATGTCCCCTCGCTTTCGCGAAAGCGGGGAACAAAAATAAACTTTCAATTACACCGAATATACTGTAATAGGAAGAAGAACATGCAGCAGACCAGATAATGCAAATAAAAAACAAACAAAAAAACCCCACAAAAACGGGTAAACTTCTAATAAATTCTTAAAATTGGAGAAGTGTTTCAACCCCTTTCTCTGGTTTTTGAAAAAGAGTGGGTACACTGTGGGTCACCAGAGAAGCACATCAAATTTCATTTAAGCCCCCAAAATATATTCATAATAAAACGCAAAGTTTAGACACTATAGAGATCAGCATTCAAACAATTTGATTTCATTTTTCTCATTATAAAAATAAAATGCCTAGATGCAAAATCAAGGTAACTACGCCTTGTATGTGATAATTAATACTAGTTAATTTGACAGATTCGCAACAAATTTTCAAAGAAATTTGAAGATTTTCAACGTTTCCCTCAAAACTCCTGGATTGTTGATTATGTTTGTTTTTCTGTAATGGAACATCAAAAACAAAGGTTTATGTAGACGATTAATATAAAAAAAAGAAATGGACTAGTGTACCTTTAGCATCAACTTAATTTTCTGTGGATATTCTTCATATCGGCGCTTTCCATTCCATTCAAATTCATCATTCACTAGATTGTCTGTATGATAATTCGTTACACTGCTTTAATTTCCATGTATGTTTTAATATTTACATTTCCAATGTCTTTGTCCAAGATAAAATTACCAATTGTAAATGTAATTGATTTCCTCATGAATGTTTTGGCGCGGTTCCAAAAAAAAACCACGTGCAGGGCGGGACAACACCTAGAGAGAAGCAGGCTTGGAGCCCGTGGATTGGCGGAATCAAAGCATGTAAATATAAGGAATAACTGTCAGATTTTTCGAATTCATGAAGATGATCAATGGATTGGCTTGTGTGATAATTTTATGCATAAACGCCTTCGGCGTTTATGCAAATTATCACACAAGCCAATCCATTGATCACTTCATGAATTCGAAAAATAAGACAGTTATTCCTTAAATGAAGAAAAATTTTGGCCCCGCTCTCAGGCGCGTAGCCAGCATGAAAATGAAGTGTACGCAGATAACGGTCGGGGGTCTGGGGGCCGCCATGAGGCCCCCTGTGGTTCCAGGGCGAAGCCCTGGTGGGGGGCCAGGGGGCGAAGCCCCCGGACGCTCCTGGATTTTACGAAATCTTTCAGTCATTTTCTCGCAAAAGAAATCACGATAACATCACTTTTCTCGAGCAAACGCTTAGCTAAGTTATACTGCTTCCATTGATACTTCAGGAAGAGAACGATAATTTATCAAATTAATTTACGCATATATTGGTATTGGAAAAAAGTTTCCAAGTGTGTCAAGATAAAACAGAGTAGCAATTTCAATATCGTTAACATTGGAGTTTAAATATTTCAAAATATAAAGGGGGTGTTGCTGTCTTTTGATTACATTCATATTTGATTACTTAAACGATTCGAGAATGCTTCAATTATAATATAATTCTTTAAATTGGTAACATCAGTAAATGAAGCTATATATTTTTATTTATTTTGTTCACCATAATTTAAATTGTTTAACGACATTTATTCATTACCTCT